GTGTTGACAGATTTGTGAATATGAACAATTTTAGTGATTTTCCTCATAATAAGAAAAAGTTATTACAATCAATTTAAATCTGGTTTGAAATACAGTAAAGTATTTTGCAATTGTAAATATTAAGTTTGATTTATTAGCTTGCAATTAAAACTAAAATAAAACGTTCAAGAAAGATTTTTCAATTTTAAAATACATTTTAAAACTTAGGTATAGCTTTTTATATATATATATATATATATATATATATATATATATATATATATGTGTGTGTGTGTGTGTGTGTGTGTGTGTGTGTGTATCTTTACCTTCCAAGCTTAACGGGAGAATTGTGATGAAATCCGGCATAAACTTAATAGTTATTTAATCATAGTTAAGTATTGGAAGCTCATGAAGGACTAAAATTAAGTTCACACACACACACACACACACACACACACACACACACACACACACACACACACACACACACACACACACACACACACACACACACACACACACATATATATATATATATATATATATAGATAATTACCCTAGTGAGCCAGGCAAACTTACCTAGGTAACGATCCGTTTAGGTGAAACCTAGGTAGGTTTGTCTGGGTCACTAGGTGTATCTAGGTCTGCTCTACGGTTGTATTGAGCGCTTTTGTTAGTTAGTTGTTTACTCGTATCGGGGTTTTTTCTTTGGGCTTCAGACCTGTATCTGTGCGATTTTTTGTCGGCAGAAGTTCATGTTTGTAGCTCTTTCTTTTTTTAAAACCTTTTTTTCCTCGAGATTGATTTGATTATTAGCAAATCAAAAATTCTAGGGTTTTTCGAAACGAGTCTAGTTATCTATAATATATATATATATATATATATATATATATATATATATATATATATATTTACAGTGCTGTTCGATAAAAGTGACTCACCTGATTTTTTTACTAAATGTTCTCTTTTTCGATGAAACGAAAGTTGATCTAAATTCAAAGGATAAGCGATCTAAAATCCGAAGAAGAAGCTTTGAAAGCTCTTTGAATTTAGCAGTAAGTACTGTCAAGCATCCGTTCAGTATAATGTTCTGGGGATGCTTTTCTTTTCATGGAACTGGTTTCTTAAAACCTGTTGAAAAGACCCACAGGACCGAGCAGTACAAGAGAATTTTAGAGTCTTGTCTGCTCCCTTATGCTGAAAGGGTGCAAATCGACCCCACCAAGGTCATTTTTATGCAGGATAATGCTCCCTGTCACAAATCAAAATTAATGAAGGAATACTTTGATAAGAAGCAGGTGAGTGTTATGACATGGCCGCCCCAATCTCCTGACCTCAACCCCATAAAAACTTACGGAGCATTATAAAGTACAGGCCCTCGAGAAAGCAGTTGAGCAACAAAGAGGATTTGATTGTGAATTTCATATCCGAATGGAATTCAATGCTTGGAGATGAGATTTTCCAGAATCTAATCAAGTCAATGCCAAAAAGGGTTGAAAAAGTCATTCAAAATAAAGGAGGACCCATAGATTATTAAATATTTCGAACTATATTACCTATTATAAATAAATTATACCTCTATTATTCTTTATTTAAAGCTGTTCGGTTATGTTTCTATTGATTACTAGTTGCAGGAAATAAGTGAGTCACTTTTTTTGCACAGAGTTTTTCCCTAAATCTCATTTATATCCAAATTTATAATTATCAATAGAATACCTTAGGATGAAGGGGTCTTTATATTAGTAAGATCAAAAATTAGTTTGACCCTAAAAACAATAGGCGAAAAAATTTTTAAGTAAAAAAATCAGGTGAGTCACTTTTATCGAACAGCATTGTATATATATATATATATATATATATATATATATATATATATATATATACACACGTTTCATTAAATAATATAGACAAGTGTTGTCTATTTATTTTATGTAAAATTTTTCGTATCTTCTGATAAGTTTGATAACATTATCATTAACCGAAAAAGAAATTCACAATATTTATCCATTATTTTTTAATATAATCTAAGCTTTCGGCTTACTCAAGCCATTATCAAAGATGTAATTACAAACATATCAAACAATATACGGACACGACAGTGATGATAGTCTGTCATTGTTTAGTTTACATAGTGGATCACTAAGCAACGATGAACACGCGCATATAAGACGCTAGAAGCGAAAATCGCACCGCATCTCATGACGTCACACATGACTACACGAGAGTGAATTGAGAATGAAATAAGGAAAGCCGTTGGTATAAACCAATGGCTTCTGTTACCAATTATAGAAATTATAGACATTTAAGAATATTTGTAGAGATTCCATAGTTGATTTTGTTTAGGTTGGGTTTTAACTGTTTGATGTATAATGCTTCAAGTATTTTTAGTTTTTGTCTATTGTTTTCATGTCGAAGTATAGTTGTGTTTTCGACAAGTATTTTACGGAATTGTGTGTGCGGGCAGGCATGTTGTTTTAAATGCCTAAAAATGTTAGAGTTTTCATTAAAATGTAGTGTCAAGCGTCGTGAAAGCGAGTTTGTGGTGTGACCAACATAAATATTATTTAATTCGTTGGAGATACACTCTCCCAAAGGGCACTTGAATTTATAAACTATGTTGCTTAGTGATCCACTATGTAAACTAAACAATGACAGACTATCATCACTGTCGTGTCCGTATATTGTTTGATATGTTTGTAATTACATCTTTGATAATGGCTTGAGTAAGCCGAAAGCTTAGATTATATTAAAAAAATAATGGATAAATATTGTGAATTTCTTTTTTCGGTTAATGATAATGTTATCAAACTTATCAGAAGATAAAATATAGGTCCTTGCTAGATTAGATAATCGTCATATTTATTTTTTATATGTTTATATTTGATTTGTAACCTGTAGTCGATATTAATTTTGTAAAATTTTCTCAATTACACAGCGACCCTTTCCGTAAATGTCCTTCAATTTTACTTTCCCTCGCCCCATCTCTCTCCCCCACCTCTTCTTTCCCTCCCTCTTATTCTGACATTAAATCGTCTATGGTGTGTGTATGTAACCACGAAATGTATCTTTATGCATTAGACATCCGACAACATTCATATTTCTCTTAGTTAAACCCCTTCTACTCACCTCTCCTAAAATTCTCTCTGTTAAGGTTTAATCTCCCTCCTTCTCTAGACTCTCTCTCTAAATTCTGTTTTTATTTCCGGAGTTGTTTTTTCTGTTTTCTTTTTGAATTTGCAGATCTGATGAATTGGATTGTATTTACGATTCCAATGGAATAAATTATGACCATGGAATATTAGTGTTTAAGCCTTTATTATATCTTTACTCTGTCCTGGACATTGAGTTCTACCTGGATTCTATCCTCTCGGAATTTTTATTCAAAAATATACATATATGTGTATGCACCTATGTATATATATCTATATATTTTGCATATGTATGTGTATATTTACCACTAATATTATCTATCTATCTATCTATCTATCTATCTATCTATCTATCTATCTATCTATCTATCTATCTATCTATCTCTCTCTCTCTATATATATATATATATATATATATATATATATATATATATATAAATCACTTCACCCCCAAACAAGCCAATAAAGCCACTAAGACGCAAGGGGTTACTGAAACTGAGAGAACATGAGAAAAAAATTATTAAGGTGAGAGAACAAGAAGATAACTATTGATATTGCATACATTTTTCAAGATTATAGTTGACTGCAAAAACGAGAAGCCGAAGTATGTGTGTGTTTTTGTGTGTGTAAGTGTGTGTGCGTGTGTGTGTGTGTGTCTGTGTGTGTGTGGGGAGGGGTTGTGTGCATTTAAACTTTTCTTATATCACCCACAGAGGAATGGTTAGCAGTTTTGCTTCAGTTGCGCTGCTCAAAAACAGGAAATAGCTTCCTCGAATTAAGACAATATTGGGAAATACGTTTTTTTTTTTTATATATATATATTTTGGCATGATGTCTAGAGATGTGTATGAAATGTCTGCCAAGACTAGAGAAACTTGACAGATGAACGGATTGAGAAATCTGTTCCATTTTCTTAAATCATTTCGCAGAAACATCGGTGGAATTTTACAAGAGGCACTGCGACCCGAAATAATCAATTTTAGTTTCAAATGTGTTTTTTCATATATATATATATATATATATATATATATATATATATATGTAGTAATATATATATATATATATATATATATATATATATATATATATATATAGGTAGTAATCCGTTGGTATAATCCAGGCAAGTTCTATTAACACAACATAGAATTTGAAACATGTTAAAACTGACTCACAAAAGAGCGCTCAATGTTTATTTTCATTAAACAGAGCAAATTTTTCTTTTACAATTGGAGTGAAGATACTGTTGTGGTAGGATCCACCTAATTTACATAGTGGAGAACCGACCATATAAATATGGTTGGTACCGGGAAGAGGGGGGGGAGGAATCAAGAGATTCAATCCAGCGACTCTGCCCGACTGCGACTAAGTCAACACATTCTCCAGGAACGGTCTTCCCAAGAATATACAAAAGACTATATGTAAATATTGTGTACACTTTCTTGTTTCAATACATTTTGTTCTAAGTAAATTTTGTGTTGTATTATTATTCCATGCATTAGTCAAGTTTCAACAATGGATCTCATCCTCGTCGCCATTGTTGAAACTTGTTTTATTATTCCATGCATTAGTCAAGTTTCAACAGATACCTTTAGTAAATGACTAATGATGGTGTTGAATGTAGCATAAACTCCTTTATTCTATATTCACCTCCATCACTTGATTAGCACCAGAAGTGTTGAAACAAAATGGCTATTTTTGTAGTGATTTTATAACTTATTTAAATTTATATATATATATATATATATATATATATATATATATATATATATATTAGTGTAAGCCCAAAATTATCTGCACTTGTTTATAGATGTTATTTCGAAAGGGCGGATAATTTTTGACCTCGTGTATATATCTCAAAAAATAACATCAATTTCAAAGCAACTTATAGGAAGTATTTAAACGAACATTGTCGATCAAAACATGGAAGGAAAAAAGACAGATTAATAGATAGAGAGTTAGGAACGTGCATAAAAGAAGAGGGAGAAAGAGAGAGAGAGAGAGAGAGAGGAACGTAAACGTAGTTAAAAGAGTGAGAGATAGATAGATAGATAGATAGATAGATAGATAGATAGATAGATAGATAGGAGCAGACTGGGATAGATAGATAGATAGATAGATAGATAGATAGATAGATAGAGAGACAGAGAGAGAGAGATGGAGAGAGAGAGAAATAGAGGATTGTGTGTGTGTTTGTGAGCGCGCGTATGTGTGTGTATGTCTGTGAGTGTGTGCGTGTGAGAGAGAGAGAGAGAGAGAGAGAGAAAGAGAGTGGGAGTGGAACGGGCTAAACGCAAAGGGACATCTCCGGAACCAAAGATAGATAGATAGATAGATAGATAGATAGATAGATAGATAGATAGATAGATAGACTATGTGTGTGTGTTTGTGAGCGCGCTTATGTGTGTGTGTGTGTGTGAGAGAGAGAGAGAGAGAGAGCAAGAGAAAGAAAGAGAGAGAGAGTGGGAGTGGAACGGGCTAAACGCAAAGGGACATCTCCGGAACCACAGATAGATAGATAGATAGATAGATAGATATAGTATGTGTGTGTGTTTGTGAGCGCGCTTATGTGTGTGTGTGTGTGTGAGAGAGAGAGAGAGAGACAGAGCAGGAGAAAGAGAGAGAGAGAGTGGGTGTGGAACGGGCTAAACGCAAAGGGACATCTCCGGAACCACAGACAGATAGATAGATAGATAGATAGATAGATAGATAGATAGATAGATAGATAGATAGAGTATGTGTGTGTGTTTGTGAGCGCGCTTATGTGTGTGTGTGTGTGTGTGTGAGAGAGAGAGAGAGAGAGCAAGAGAAAGAGAGAGAGAGAGAGTGGGAGTGGATCGGGCTAAACGCAAAGGGACATCTCCGGAACCACAGATAGATAGATAGATAGATAGATAGATAGATAGATAGATAGATAGATAGATAGATAGGAACGTGTATAAAAGAAGAGAGACGAAGAGAAAGAGGAACGTGCGTAAATTAAATGAAAGAGGGGAATGTGCTTGATCGAGAGTGAAATAGATAGATAGATAGATAGATAGATAGGGCGAGGGTGTGATACTAGCAGACATGCCGCCGCACCTCTGCCTGTCCCACCCGAGCTCCCCCCCCACCTCAGAGAAAACAATGAATTTCCAAATGAAGTAAAAAAAAAAAAAAAAAAAAAAAAAAAATGGCGTCTTTCTCGTAAGAGCAAAACTGGGACCTTCAATTCATCAGCGTCTCGCGAGTGCCCTTCTCGACCCCCCCCCCAGATGGTCTTGCGTTATAACCGAATTCTTCAGCGATGACACTTTATTAACAGACAATCTTCTGAGCTAGAACTTTTCCATTTTCTCAAGATTTCTGGAACGTTTGGAAGTCAATGAATGCCGGCCTAAGGGTACCCTACCCTCCCGGTTTTAACTTCGGCCTATCTTACAATCCCTTGATATGGATTCTTATTTGATGTATATAGTCGAGTGAAGATCATCTTTATTGTAGGTTTTATAGCCCTGTTGACCTTAACTTAGTTATTTAAAATATGAACGATTATAGCGGCAGATTGGATGTTGGAGATGTGATGGAGGTGCAGGTAGAATTCTAGGTCTTTTCGCCTACTTCGGTTTCACTCTGTGTCTAAGAGGCTCCGTTCTTTCTACATCCTTTCTTTTGTATGTGCCGTATCCTTTCAGGAACTTAGGCGATCATGGCTCTCCACTTTCCCCTATCCCTTTGTAGATCGTTTCGTGTCTCTGCCAACTCTTCCAGACCACGTTCTACCATCCACTTGTTTAAGCCCGCCAGGTATGTCATGTGCTGCTGTCCCTTGTCTCTTTTCCCCCTCTATTCGACCTGTGAGTGTCAGATTCTCCAGGCCCTCTTTTCTCATTACAATTTCTTCAGCTTTTTCCTTATGTTAATTATAAGCCGCTTCTTTCTTTGCATCCTCTCCAAAAATCATATCGTTGCTCACACATGATATCCTTAGCATCTTTGTGTAGATCCACATTTCCGCTGCCTCGAGTCTCTTCTTCATCTTTGAGGAGACCGTCCAATATTCGCTGCCGTATAGGAGGACATATGTCACGTAGCAGCTCAGCACACATTTCTTTATCACCAAAGAGATCCTCCTATCTCACATTTCTCTACCCAGCTTTCGAAATACATCCTTGGCCATCCCAATTCGTTTTCGGATCTCACCGTCGCAGCTAATAAGGAAGCAACATTTTTGTTTTTAAAGAATAGACTCAAAATGCGTTCCAGGAGCTGAGGTGCAACGCATTCAGGCTTATGAACACATCATGGTACATGCCAGAAGTTAAGCAACGTCGATCATGGTCACTACCTTTATGGGTGACCGTTTGGGAATCGTAGGTGCTGGAAGCTTGGTGGTGTAATGGATAATGTCTGGGAATTGTTAATCGGATAGCCGAATTCCAATTCTCGTTGGGAAAGGTACGAATTTACTTCTTTTTGCCTCCAGCTGTGGGTTAAATAGTAAGATCTGTATTCAATAAACTATTATTATATCTCCCACCCAAATTCTTACAATCTAAAAAAAAATCATTTCTGGATTTAAATAACCTATAAACGGTTGATAAGCCACAAAAATGAATTAATCAATTAAACGTATTAGGTTGGTGCAAAAATAATGACGTATTAATGTCGTTTTTGACGTATTTTTTAACGTTAAAAACGACATTATTACGTCATTATTTTTGCACCAATCTAATAGTTTATATCAGTGTTGGCACTACTTAAATTAACTGGTCCCACTCATAAAAAGGTTATTTGGGGGTGGATATTTTTGGTAGATTTACATTCATTACATCTTCCTCGAGTCACGTCGTTTTTTTTTTTTTGTTTTGTTTTTTTGAATGACTTGTTTTCTATGGTTTATAAACCTTTTGCAGCTTATTTAAGACCATAGATTTTGTTTGACTTGTAAGAAATTTTTGGACACAATAATGATTTTTTCCTGATACAAGTTCTACAGATTAACCCATAGCTGGGAGGGAGAAAAGGCGGATCCGTATGTTTCACAAGCTTATTTGCACGTAAGTAAATAGAACGAACACGACTGAAACTTTCCGATGTCCAATTTGCATATTTGCTCCATCTGCACACCCACGATTACATCACCTGGTATTCCCAAGCGGCCACCCATCTAGTGATCAGGCTCGACGTTGCTTAACTTCGGCGAATTTTCCTTAAAATACATACGTTTAAGTTGTAATCTTGAAACGGGAGCGATCAGTATAATCTTCCAGACAATTGCTTGAATATGTAATAAATGCGAATGTCAGTGTGTCACACTTTTTCAACTCTACGCTTAGAGACCGTAGCCCAGCGTATCATACCATTTTGGAATCAGACCGACTCCGTGAGTAAATTAAAATATTCCAGGCTGGATCCGGACCGGCAATCCTGATATTTTGAATTTCCAAGTTTTCATTACTGCGATTGTTTCCAGCGATGTTCTTAGGTGATATTTGTGACGAAATTTTTCATACGATAACAATTTTTATAACTTGCAAATAAATTTGGGAATAATTGAAATTAATTGCGAAATCCAGAGAGAGTCACCCGTGAAAGAAAAATAATTTTTGTACGAAAAAGTAAGGACCTACGTACATCAAATTGTATTTTGGTTGCAGAAGAATGGACATTTAAGAGTTAAGTATAAATATTAACTCACTACACAGATGCAGCGATCAATTTTGAGTTTTTATGTATTTTATTGTTGCCTATCTCACACGGGAACAGTATACCTCGCAAAATGAAATCTCTGCGAACAGATCACCAGACTGCAATCAAAAGCTCCAAGGCTGAAGCGAAGAAAAGAAAGCCCCGTGCAAATGAAAACCCAGATCAAACGGCAGCTAGGGACTTTCAAACTTCTGAATAAACCAAAACCGCAAACAAGAGCCCTCCGCTGGAGTTAGCTTAATTGCCGCCCGATAGGGCCTCTTTTAAGCTAGTAACAAATATATTCAATGCTAAGTTAATAAAAGACCATTTTGAAAGCGTACCATCACAAATCATTTTTCGCGTTTAGCAAAAAAGCTATGAGTTACTTGGCGCCAACTTGTCCCTTTTTTCCCGCCACAAGCAATTAAACACGAGTCACGACAGAGTGCAAAGCGGTATTGTTCTACTTTTAAACAAGATATGAATTATGTACTTTTTTTTTCTTTTAATGACAATATATTTATCCTTCTTCCCAGCTTGTCTTCTTTTTTCTTTTTTTCTGGGGCTAAGAAGCTGGAACGTTAAAGTGTTTTGTTTCTAATGTCAGCCGCCAACACATTAAATTTAAGACGTTGCTGGGTCTCAGTAAAATTAACATTGGCGCTATATTATCTTCCAAACTTGTTATCATTCAGCTATTTTGCATCTTGTAAAATCGGCATTATTCCCAGAATATACATATCTAACGGTACCACGGCATTGATTTTGCTGTCAACAAGCGTTGTTTTGCTTTTAAGTAAAGTAAATCATAAGGATTCAAAGAAATAGAGATTATATGAAACAGATAAAAAAATAACGCAAGAAAATTGTAGATTTGTTCAAGATATTGTTAATATCAATCCCTATATGGAATAGTGATTTTCCAAGCGTAGCTCAGATGTGGCACAAGGCCGAAAGTATGGGGCACCCAGTGAGGATCGAACTCACTACTCAGTCGTAATTGTTCTAGCGAGACAAGCCAAGCTTGCTAACCATTACACCACTTCGAGGTGCCCAAATGATTTTCTAAGCGTAGCTTAGATGTGGCACAAGGCCGAAAGTATGGGGCGCCCAGTGAGGATCGAACTCACTATTCAGTCGTAAATAATTTAGCGAGACAAGCCTGTTAACCATTACACCAGGCCGAGGTGCCCTATCCATGTATGGAATAATGATTTTCCAAGCGTAGCTCAGATGTGGGCCAAGGCCGAAATTATGAGGTACCCAGTGAGGATCGAACTCCTTTTTCAGTTGTAACTGATCTAGCGAGACAAGCTTGCTAACCATTACACCACGCCGAGGTACCCTATCCCTGTATGGAATTACTGTTAAAACATCCATTCAAGAAATTTATAGACAAATCCTGCATACTGGAATTTCTTCCTATCCAATACAAATGGACGAATTTTCAGACAAATCCGTCATATTTTGGTTTTTGTTTTAAAATCAGAATGCTACAATCACATGACTGTATCCCTTTTACGTGTGAACACCATTCATACTTTGCGAATATTTGGCTTATTAATGTTGTTTTTACCAAATTTTGTCTGGCAGACATATTGTTTGTTTAGTATTATTTTTTTGCCCTATTTTTTCTCTTCCGTTCATCGTTGTTTATTAAGAACTTTGTCAATTCTGTATGTTGAGCTCTTAACTATGGCAAGTTGCTCCACACGAGATGTAAACGAATTATTTTAAAATACTGAAAGAACTTCAATCTCTTAGGGGAAATGTGGGTTACCTTCTGATCCCAGGTTTACTGCACCTCCTTGTACATTTTCGTGGACCGGGCAGTGTGTACTTGGACTGAGTGAAAACAGGGTGAGCAATAACTGAGCAGTACTAAAAATAAGAACTTGACAAGATATCTCTAGACATGGATCGATATACACCTGATGAAGGTCGGATGGCAAAACAGTCGAAACGTGATATCAAAACCAAAAAAGAGATCTGCTGGTTCCATTATTGGTAGAAACGACTGAAAAAAGAAAAAAAAAAAAGAAAAAACATTTTCCTCGCCAAATTCATAGACAAATCCTCCAGAATTACGTTGGGATTTCTTCCTAACCAATAAACATGGACCACATGTCTCATTCCCCATTATTTTTTTTATTTCTGCGCCTTGAGGGAGACCCGGTGAAGTAATGGATAGCGGCTCGAACTGAGGAATCGGAGAGCCGAGTTCGAATTCCAGTCGAATCAATTACATTCACTTACGTGCTAATACCCTTGGAAAAGGTATGAATCCTCTTCTTCTCCCCCCAGCTATGGGTAAATAGCAGGACAGACCGGGTTCTATAGCCTTGGATGGCAACTGGTCTACCGCAGAAAAAAATGGCAACCTACAGCGGGGAAAAAT